TAGAAATTCATTGTTTTCACAGTCAATAAACACAAAAATTTTAGCATAGCATTTTGAGAAAAATACTTTGATTTCAAAAAGTTTATTCCTAATATACTAACAAATTAACTGTTTAACGTTGCAGTGGAAACGTATTGACAAAAAAGGTATTGATTTTGTTTTATATAGAATCGCAACCATTTTAGCCGGAATTTAAGAAAATAATTGAACAACAGTTAATCTTATTTCTAAAGCATTCCTAAATTTATTACATTTTGGATAAAAAGCTCCAATTATACTGATACCAAAAACAGAGTAGCTATAGCTGTATTAACCGTATTTAACCCAATTAATTATTAAATTAAAACAAGAGTTGCATTTTGCAACATAAATCCTTTACGTGTATAGCTAGCTATAAATAAGGGTTCAATTACTGTCTCACAAAGCAATAATATCGAAATAAAAGGAAACCAGAATTACCAGTAATTCAATATAAATATTTACAGCACTCGTTGATTTAGATTTAGATGTTTGCGTGCTTGTGGTCGTGGGTTGATTATTAGTGCATTTATTGATTGAAAGATCACAATATTCAGCGGTCGGCCCACACTCTTGATCGTAAGCGCATATTTCCCCCACGCAACTTCTCCGACACATACGGATACCTCTACAACAATATTCTCCAGGACCGGCACAATCTCTATCGTCATGGCATACTTCAGTGAGACAGTTTCTCCTACAAACACTAGGATTCGGCCCCTTACAGCAGTATTCCGACGTCGCGCAGAAAATATCTGAAATGCAGCTCTCGCAACGAGTGTGATTGACACATTTATTATCTTTGCAACATTCGCCTTTTCCACCGCAATCACCATCTGTAATACAATACCGACCAATACAGTCGTAGGGACGACATGTTCTCTCGCTGGGCCGGGAAAGTCCTTTACAACAAAAGGCAGAAAATTCTTGATAGTCGCTTTCACAATCAGAATTCGTGTAACATTCATCTTTCGCCACAGCTATATGGACTACTGTGATTGATATTATGCTGCTACATAGAAATAAAATCAGAGGTATTTTCGTCATGGTTTCTACTTGATTTCTGAGTAAAAATTGCGTGGTTAAGATTTTTAGCCGACGCGATACACCGCTGAGCATTCAGCCGCATAGAATTACTTAAACAAAGAGCCTGGTTTTGTGAACAACAATAATTAATATAAACGCATTTATATAAGCCTTCTTTGCTCTTTCTTCAAAATAGGTTGAATTAAACCGGTGTGATGCAGGGCGACGTTTTCAGTGCACTCTAATACCACTGCTTGGGGTTGGTTGACAAATGTATAAATCTCTTATTAGTGAGTTTGTGTAAAAAAAAATCATTAAAAGGTGTATTTCTCAGACTAATTGCACTTTAAATTATTTATTAGCCAACGTGCATTATTCATTTTCATATCTGTTATATGCTAAAATGTCTTCAATTAAAAAGTCAGTACAATTCAGAGGACTCAAAAATCTTATTTTCGCTGATAATTTTCAGTTCCGGTTAACCGCGGTTTTTGTTAGGATATTTCTGGACAGTACTGTAAATACAGTCTTCAATTCATCGTTCTTCAATTCATCTGTTATCCATACATTTCGAGACTTGCTTGATGCAATTCTGGTGCTAATTGTATAATAGGACGCGATTTTTCAAAGAAAATCGGTTAGGTTATTTCTGGACAGTACTGTATAAGGAATCATGTATAAAATAATCCTTTGCGCGCTTGTGCTTACATTTACGCTTTCGTTAGATTTTATCTTTAAGCCGGTTTTCCACTAGCGTTTATTTTCGCGCGAAGCGACATTTTACTTTGTTTCAAAGCTCTCAACTGCAACCATCTGGAACAAATTGCTCAAATACAAAAGAATAAAGTCGCTTCGCGCGAAAAATATCGCTAGTGGAAAACCGGCTTTATCAATGTGCATCTGGGACAGCAATAATTCGATTCTAAATTACATGAAGTGTTGTCAAGAATAAACTTGTGATTGGCCTTTACCCCGCAGAATAAAACTGTAATAAATGGAGCACATCTATATAGAAGCGATTTTTTTTATTATAACACGCTGAGTATTATATTAATGTCGATACGACGCTAACAATGTCAACAATAAATTAAAATGCAGTCAGTCTCGCAAATCAACCTTAAACGTTTGATCATGTCTTTATAATGGCGTTTTAAGCATACTAAAACACATGCACTTAAGCCGGTTTTCCACTAGCGATATTTTTCGCGCGAATCCACATTTTAATTTTGTTCCAGAGCTCTCAAATGCAACCATCTGGAACAAATTGCTCAAATACAAAGGAATAAAGTCGCTTCGCGCGAAAAGTATCGCTAGTGGAAAACCGGCATTAGGCCCGTTTCAGACGTCGACGGAACTGTTTAAGTTCATTTGCATTCGATCGTAATTTCATAAAGTTTTATTAATAAAAATTATTAACAAAATTTAAAAGCATTTTTATTACTGAACTCTAACTTTGACTTAGTTGCCAAATTTGTTGAACTTCATCGACACTAATGACAGCAATAAACAGTAGAACTAGAAGTTACTAGAAGTGCTGCCTTGAAGACAGGGCGGTATGAATTATAATTACAGTAGAAATTTACACTAAAGTAGAAATTTATCCAGAGTATTTACAATGTTATGTTCAGTATGTCTATACGACGTTCATATATCATTCAGAAATGGACAATTTGTCTAATTTGTAAAATAAATATTACAGTGATTTGTCTGATATGTGAAATAAATATGTATATATATACATACAGAGAAAGTTGAATATTTGTAATAAGCATTTTTGACGGTCTCAATATACCCTTGGCTAATTAAGTTATTTGGTTTAAAAACCTGGCTCTCATGAAGCATGAGCCAATCACTTGCGCAATTTACGAATGAGAAGAAGGCTCCAAGATCAAAAGGTATGTGAAACGTAATTATCGATTAAAGTGTGTCAGCCAATCAGCTTGGAATTGGTCGATCAAAATAAAACCTGTCAAGAACTCTTGACAAACAGTGAAAAGGGTTATTTCCAGCACACAGTATGTCATTCAATAATGCTAAATCCCATACATTAACATTTGTAAAATTATCATACACTATTGCAGTCAAGGTCATAGCTAGACATTGTTTACCAGCATTTTGTCTAAATTTTTTTGTATCGTCCTGGCTAAAATAAGCACAGATTGTTTTACTTGGGTCAGCGACATCATAATTATGCTCCAATGCGGGCACGATATTGCTCAACTATTATTCCCATCATTCCCATCATCCCCATCAATGATTTTAAAAGATGTTGTACGTTTTGCGACCACTGCGGACTTTGTGTATTTATTACCAGATTCACCAGTTAAGAAACTATTATCAAGTCCATAAAGTTCACACAGCCTCGTGGTATAGAAAGTGCTATAGCTCATTACGAGCATCATGTTCTCCAAGTAGTCGGAGAGTTCAGCTGCTTCTGTGGATAATCTAACGTATGGAATTTTAAAGCTTCCTTGACGCCGCAATTATACGTCACAAAACGTCATAAACTTGGACATCTCGACATCCAAAAATCCAGGGGCCGGTTGTATGAAGCCCGTTTAGCTTAAACGGTGGATAAGTCAAAATTAAATAACACTCTTACATCTCTCTTGAATGAGTCAACTTGAATATTATGCACTGAATATGTAGTTGTAAACAGTATCTTTGTATTAAGGTTAAAAATATTCAGTTCGCTTGTTGAATAAAACGGCAGACTTTCTTTCTATTTTGAACTTATCTACCGTTTAAGCTAAACGGGCTTGATACAACCGGCCCCTGGGGCTGGTTGTATGAAAGCCGGATAGCGCTATCCACCGGATAGTGGTTTTTTCAATCGCTTTAAAATCGCCCGTTGTTTGCTATAACTTTGATTAAATCTTAGTATTCCTAAATCGAGTATCCCCTTTAATAATTGCTGGTTCCAAAAATGAAATTTTATCGTTTTTCGAGCATTTTTAGAACGGTTGAAAAAATCACTATCCGGTGGATAGCGCTATCCGGTTTTCATACAACCGGCCCCTGATGTCGACTATACATAGCTCGGGCAAACGGACTGGCGCGAGTACAAGATCAGCTAACGCGCAAGAGCCATGCTAACGCGAGGCAGCAAATATTAACCAAAGAGCTGGTACCACTGAGTTTTATCATACTAGTTTTGTATAAAACAAAAGTCAAACGTTTAGGCATGAATGACAGCAGCGAAGACAACTTCTTCTTCTACCATTCATTACGAAGGGGTTTAAACTATAAAAATAGATTCTAGGCAAATAGATTTATAAATTTATTTCGCTAATAGCGTAAACAATGAATGGAATGTGCCTACACAAATTGTTTATAGTTACAGTTAAACATATTTGTAAAGTCCACGAACTCAGTTTGACAGTATAGTAGCTTCTTACAGGATAAATCCTTAGAACTGGTAAAAAAAAAATGTGGGTTACCTATGTGCATAAAGGTTAATTTAGACTGTTCTAAGGTTTTGAGATATATGGTTCATTCAATATTTTTGTTCTACTTTCTATCTTTTATGGTTTCTTTTAACTGAAAAGGATATGCCTTATGTGTGTCGATCGTGGTTATTGTGTGTTATATATTTGTTTGTTTGCATAACTAAAGTATTTGTGACCGCCTCACATAGTAATAGTATGAAAATGAACGGAAACCAAAGTTAACAGTATTTCAATATAAATATTTACATCATGCAAATTCGTTGATTCAGATGGAGTCACGAGGGTCTTGGGTTTATTACTAGTACACCTCTTGATTGAAATATCACAATAATGCGCGGATCCGCACTCACGATCATTAGAACATTTCTCCCCCACACAACTTCTCTGGCATGTACGGATTCCACTACAACAATATTCTCCTGGACCGGCACAATCTCCATCGTCACGACATGTCTCAGTGAGACAGTTCCTCCGACATACATTAGGATTCTGCCCCTTACAGCAGTATTCTGAAGAAGCGCAGAAAGAGTCCGAATTGCAACTCTCGCAAAGAGTGTGGTCGACACATTTTTTATCTTTGCAGCATTCGCCTCTTCCACCACAATCACCGTCTGTGATACAATGCTGACCAATACAGTCATAAGGACGACATTTTCTATCGCTCAACTGGGAAATTCCTTTACAACAAACAACAAGAAATTCCCGAAAACTTCTCTTGCAGTCTGAATTTGTGAAACATTCATCTGTCGCCACAGCTACATGGACTACAGCGATTGATATTATACTGCCACATAGAAGAAAAAATAGAGGTATCTTCGTCATGATTATTACTCGATTTCTGATTAAAGATAGCGTGGTTAAGATTCTTTAGCTGACGTGAAGGCGGTGTATCGCCGCAAATTCTGCGACGTATAGTTAATTAAAAAAGATTTTGTGAATAACAAATATAGACGTTTATGAACGCCCTCTTTCTTCAAAAATATAGATTGAAACCTCAGCAGGTTCAAAATAGATTGCAATGAAATTTGTATTTTTATCATTGGCTGTGCACACCCACGTCTCATTTATGAGTTTGCATTACAATATTTCTTTTGAAATAACAAATTAGGGGGTAAATTAAAGAATTTAAAAAAATGTTGTGGGAAGTCCGTTCCCACATAGATTTAGTTTCTTGTGTATATTTTTGTCCCCGAGCCGATGCGAAGCACCGGGCGAGGGTACTAATTCCGCCCGGAGATTTTAATTATGTCCGGGAATGCAAATGCATGCATGTTAAATCGCTCTAGATCTTTGAATTTTCAGTGAAACCTCGCAAATTTACTTAAGGCGCTTTGTTTTTCAGGCCGGTCACGGTCGCATAGGCAGGATTTCAAAGGCCGCTTCGCCCGCGTGGGTGAAGCGGACGGTAATGGAGAATCGCCTTTAGGTGCTCACAGGATCGTCACTTTGTCGAAAGCGCAACGTTACGCGCGTAACTTCATATTTATTTTAAAATACCTTAACCCTACTGAAAATCTGCGGGACAATGTCAAGGGGATAGTGCAAGAAAGGAATTCATTCATAAAGCGTCCATGATTTATGGGTTGCTGTAAAGACTGTCCATAGGATGAATTTCTTTTGACCGTGAAGAGTACCACCTTAACAGAAAGTATGCCACGCCGGTGTAAGGCCGTTATGAATTATAAGGCCAAAGAAGGGTCAACAAAATATTGATATTTCATATAGTTTAGCATGTAATCTAGTCTATATTTACTCGTATATATTGTTAGAGGGACAGTTACGTTCATTTGAGAGCACTTTAACTTGTTTTGAGCAGTTCTTTTTGACCGCCAGTGTATTTCTCATTTCACAAAAAACTCTCCGCGCACAAGAAACTCGCCCCAGTCTTAAAATCACGTGTTTGAATTTTAATATAATTATACCATATAGTATTAAATTCAACACGAAGTTTTACGAAACATGCGTTAAAAATACTTTGTCAAACAGCAATATTCCACTTGTTGAAAAATAATTCTGCTCATTCCTACGTCTGAGTCAGACCTCCAATATTTATTTTATCCTAATATTTCTCCTAGGTTTTATAAATGCCGCCAGAAAAATACCGCTAAAGTATTTCGCTCGGGCAATTATACAAAAGAAGCGAATTGTGTTCATAGGTAAATATTATATACCTAATTTATGCGTCTGAGGAGAATGAAATTGGATATATTGATCTGAACTTAAGCATTTTATGATTGTAATGCTTCCCATAGATTTCACGTTAATTCTCGTGGTATTTAAGTTGAATATGAGATGCGTATTATTCTTTTTATAGACCAAAGATGGCAACGAGAGGGCCAACAAGATGGGATGTCTCGAAAAATTGCGAGAAATTTTGAGATGAGGTTATATGTGTCGAACGAAAAGTTGGAAACGTTTTGTGAATCAGGTTCGTATTCAATTAAATGAAAATCTGCGAGACCAAGCACTACTCCTGCAAACTGGAAAATGGAAAGAAAGCAGAAGGAAAACCAGGTTCAAAGCGATCGAATCCTTCTTTTAAAGCGCAGTTTCTGCTGTTCCTCTTGAAAGTCTTTCTCACGTTATTGCTGAGGGTGGTAATGCTACAGTGTTGTGAAATAATATCTACTGGTGGTGATATTCCAACAAGTCCTCTACCATCAGAGTTCTTTATCACTGGGATAAAAAATGCGTTGGAACGTGTTCGTCACTTTCAGGATGTATTTCAGGACGATATTTCACCTGAACGTGGATACCCCGCTCTCGCCTCCGCGATGCCGTATTATCGTGTGCTTTTTAGATTGCTAGCGTTAGAATTATCGAACAGTTAAATAACGGAACAACTTTCGCTGTGTAGCGGTATTTCTGACGTTTCGTGAACTAAGCGTGTAATTGCATGTGGTTCGCTCTTAGTGTCCTTACTGTGGCATGGCAAACGAGCTAACATTAGGTAGGAAGGACTTGTGTTTCAATTTTAAACAAAAGCGGTGAGCCCCTGAATTTTCGATTTTGGTGCATAGTGAGGACGCGCGTCGACATCGATTAGAATCACAGGGAATGCTCGTATTAAAACAGAATTCGTGGATTGAGAATTTTTTTAGTGTTCGTTAAATATGTAAAATTTTATTTGAGAAATTTTCAACTGTAATATTCCTGTATGTTTGCATGGTGACCAGTGGCGTAGCCAGCCTGACGATTTTGTCCCGCTATGTAAATTTTGAGTTATTATAATTATTCATGTCTTCAGAAATCTATAGTTTTGAGAGTCAGTGAACGTTAACACCAAAATATTAGCATAGCGGGACAAATCGGGAGGCTGGCTACGCTACTGATGGTGGCATCAATAAGCACTGATGAAGGCCCGGGTTAACGGACCGAATCACCGAAAGCTTTGCAGTATTAGATACTTATGTGGTGTACCTACAAGCTTAATTACTTAATTTTAAATGTATTGTCATTACTATTTTTAGCGTTCACCGTTCCCCTCCTTCCGTTCTCAAATTCTCTTCATTTACAAGTTGGTTTGAATGATTTATTAGTGAAGTCCGTGTGTTATTATTTAAGTCCTGTGCCCATGTGTATGAGTCGTAAATGCGTAGTGCGAACTTGAAATGTGGACAGAGTAGTTTGAAATGTGTTATGAGAATTTCATTTGGTGTTTTTTGACTTTATACGCAATGTATCAGGCACAAAAAAATGACCTACGTCTTTTTTATTATTCACATTACCATTTCAGGATTGCCCAAAACGCAGTGAAACAAAGTAAACAAGTTCAAAAGGTTGGAAGGACAAGACGTCGCTGAGTTTGCATTGATGCTATTAACAACAATTGCAGCTATTTGAAAGCCACCGTTAACCGTGAAGTTTTTATCACGTTTGTTTACGTTTCAAACTTTTGGGTTTAACCCAGGGCTTCCATAATTTATTTGCATATAGCTTTACTCGCACAGGGATGGGATTGGTGAGCAGAGAGAAACAAAGAACTTTTGAAAAGGAAGTATAATTTCTGCAATTAATAACGACTCCTCCCCCCATAGTGGAGCTCTTTTCTAGGGAAATTTCCTTAGAAATGGAAATCCTGGTTTAACCGGAAACGTTGAATGTTAAACTATAAACCAATGAGGTTACATTGTGATGTTTTGACAGGTTCCGCCCAACTGTCGAAATTAATATCACAGTGTAACGTGATTGGTTTATAGTTTAACATTCAACGTTTCCGGTTAAACCCAAAAGTTTGAAGCGTAATCAAACGTGATAAAAGCTTCACGGTTAACGGTGGCTTGCAAATAGCTGTATATTATACCATGTATACCATGCTGTGTATTATATCAACAGATTATACCATGTTTCTTATTCCATGTTTCTTATTCCATTATTCCATATATAACACATAGTTGATAATGAATGCCGTAAAGAACCAATCAGAAGAAAATAGAGGTTTAGTAATACATTAATGCCAACCGTAAACATTAGGGATTTCGTTTTCAACCAATCTACATGCATCTGTTGATTTTTTCAACTAAGCCAATTATACATGACGCATATATAGGCGAATTTGCGAGTTTTTCTATAGCCGTAATTTTTCGATCAAACGAGATTTGAAGAATTTTGCGCCTAGTTGAATAAACCCAAATTGTTAATACTTAATAGGTGGTTTGCAATTGCCGCCATTTTGGTTGATCTTTCAAAACATGTACACAATTTTTTTCATCTTTGCTGTATGTTAATACCCACCCAATAATACAACAGAGATGATAAGCAGTTACAAAATAAACAAGGAAAAAGTAAATCAACGCAGTTTGTTCTCTTGAAAAGCAGAAGTAAAGCAGCTGATAAAGATTTGATCGCTGTTACAGAAACTTGGCTGAAACCGACGGTTATGGATTGTGAAGTGCTGCCCGGGACAAATTGCAACATCTTTAGAAAAGACAGAACTTCTCGGCCTGGTGGAGGAGTTATGTTGGTCGTTCGAGATACGATTACGTGTTTTCGTCGTCAAGATTTGGAGGGGGATAGTTCTGAGGTTCTATTTTGCGAGATTCGACCTAACAACAGACGTAAACTTCTTGTTGCTGTCTACTATCGACCACCGGATTCCAGTCTTGAGTACTTGAAGGAGTTAAAAGCATCTCTACGTCTAGCACATAATGCCAAATTCGATCAGCTCATTTTATGTGGCGACTTCAACTTGCCAAACATAGACTGGGCTACTGGCACCTCAAAAACCAATGACGCTATTGAGAACTGTTTCACAAAGTTAGTGCGTGATAACTACCTATGGCAATTAGTAGACTTCCCGACACGGATCTCTAACACACTGGATCTAATATTAACCAATGTACCTGAAAAAGTTAAAGATGTTTATGGGTATGATGACGTCATTTCTACTGATCATAAACTCATCAGTTTCTCCATGGATTTTAACACTCCAAAAAAACTAACTGTCAAACGCAACGTCTTCGACTACAAGCGCACTAACTGGAATGACCTGAATGAGGCTCTTTCTAGAACCCCTTGGGATTTGGCTTTTACTTCAAATAATGTCGATGCAACCCTAACCCACTGGTGCGATTTATTTCTTGCTGCAGTAAAGGATCACGTGCCGGTGCGCCAGGTCAAGAGTGCGTCCGCCCATCCATGGATCGATGCAGAAATGTTGTCCTGTATCCGACGCAAAAATAAACTTCGGAAAAAAGCTCGGGCTACAGGGAATCCAGACGACCTCTCGCGGTATTCTGAAATTCGACGGGAAACAAAAAGACTCATCGCGCAGAAAAAGAAGGAGTCTGGCCATAAACTTGGTGATGTGCTTGCGAGCAACCCAAAACGTTTCTGGTCCTTGATAAAGTCATTAACTACTAAACGTTCTATTTCCAACGTCCTGCGTGATGGCCAAATGATTGTGTCTGATCCAGTTAAGAAAGCTAATTTGATGAACTCGTTCTTCAACTCCGTATTTTCACCTCACTCACCTGTCTCTCCTGCATCTTTTCCTTCCCGTGATGTTGATCAGCAACTATCTGATATCGAACTGTCAGTTGGTGAAGTAGAAGCTGTTTTGAATACACTGAATCCATCTAAGGCATGTGGACCTGACAACATCCCTGGAAGACTTATTACATCCACCGCAGCAGCTATTGCACCAAGCCTGTGTCGTCTCTTTAATATGTCTTTATCCCTCGGTGTTTTCCCAGAAAACTGGAAGAAGGCCAACATTACTCCTGTCTATAAAGTAACGATCCTTCACTGCCAAACAACTACAGGCCAATCTCTCTACTGTGCATCCTATCCAAGGTGCTAGAACGTTGCGTATTTAACCATTGTTTTCCACATACATCGCAGTTCCTCTACCCCCTACAACATGGATTCCGTCAAGGCCATTCTACTGAATCTCAACTACTGGTTGTGTATCACGACCTGTTGGATTGTGTAGCCAGTGGCAAGGAGATTGATGTTTTATACCTGGATCTGTCGAAGGCATTCGATAAAGTTCCGCATCACCTGCTACTCGCCAAACTTTCTAAACTTGGTATATCTGGTTCCCTCCATCAATGGTTCCATAGCTATCTGTCTGACAGGTACCAACGAGTAGTATTAGAAGGTGCGTCTTCTGACTGGTTGCCAGTTTCATCCGGGGTGCCTCAGGGATCAATCCTCGGTCCCTTTCTGTTTATCGTCTTCGCAAATGATCTGCCTGGCTACATCACCACAGGGTCCACTTTAGCGCTGTTTGCCGATGATTCAAAATTGTATAAAACCCTTGATAGTCCTTCGTCGACGATCAATCTCCAACAAGACCTGAATAACATTCGGGATTGGAGTGCTGATAACTCAATGCTTTTTAATCCCTTGAAGTGTAAAGCGTTGCGCATCTCCAGAAAAAAGTCACCCAGTCACAAGTTCGACTACATCTTGGATGGACATTTGTTGGAGAGTGTGTCAAGCATCAAAGACCTTGGTGTGACTGTCTCCAGAGATTTACAATGGTCTAAGCACATCGAGGAAATCACGGCAAAGGCAAACCGAACGCTGGGATTGGTGAAGAGAGTATGTAGAGATGTGCAAGACGTGAAGACAAGGAGGACGCTGTACTGCACTCTGGTTCGCCCGCAGTTGGAGTATTGCTCCAGTGTTTGGTCGCCATACACTGCTAAACATCGGGCATTAATTGAAAATGTTCAACGCCGCGCCACCAAATTCATCCTGAACTACCCAGAAAGTAATGTATCTTACGCCAACAGACTCAGCGAACTTAACCTGCTACCCCTGGAATATCGAAGATCTATCAAGGACATTACTCTATTTTATAAATTCAACTCTGGTACTATGTATATCGACTCTAAGGGCATTTTCTCTCCAGTAAACTGTGCTCGTTTAACACGTAATTCTAGTTCACATAACTTTAAAACCAAGATATCACACAAACAAGATTATTTTAGATTCTCCTTCTTTCCACGGGTGATAAATTTGTGGAACAAGCTACCGCATGATACTAAAGCCTCTTCATCATTACAATCACTTAAAACAAGGCTTATACTTCAATCTAAAGATACTCTGCAAAGTTACGTTCCTCCATAATACATAATACTTAGTAATAATAACTTCTGTTTTGTAATAATGTAAGCATATGTGACCGCCCGAGTTTGTTTGTAAAATTTCTGTATATGTCTGTACTAGTTGTATTTTAGTGTATTTATTTTTAGATAAGGAGACAATTACAAATTGGGACTTATGTCCTGTTATTGCCTCCTGTCACTGCTGTAACTTTTAGTGACAAACCAATTAAAAAAAAAAAAAAAAAAAAAAAAAAAAAAGTAAACTTTGTAGAATCAACCAAGATGGCGCCTAATGACTGATTATGACGTCATATGCAAACCGAGAATTGGTACCTTTACTATCAAGCAAATGTCTTTGCTTATATATGTCGCTGAAGGGATGAAGTTTTTTTCATACGTAATATAACACGTGACTTCACATGCACGTGACCTCAATAGTTGTCACAGACAGATTTGAAGCGAAAAAGTAGCAACTATTACTCTATTAGAGCATGCCATGAACTGCATGTGAGGTTTACAGTGGGCAGGAGTGCTGCTAAAGTCTCTAATATGATCTTTGTGTACAGATTTAAAACGACAAACGCCAAACGTAGGTTACGTGATCAGGCAATACGAACACTGGAACCGGTTGTACGAAAGCAGGATAGCGTTATCCACCGGATAGTGATTTTTTCAACTGTTTTAAACATGCTTGAAAAGCGAAGAAACTACAGTTTTGGAGCTAGCAGTTGTTAAAGAGTTAGACAGCCCCAGTATAAGAATACCAAGGTTTAATCCAGGTTATTCTGAATAACGAGCTGTTTTAAAGCAATTGAAAAAGCTTTTCCTAACATTCCTTTGTGAGAGCTAACACAGGTAACAACCTGATACAAAAATTGTTGCCCGCTTGGAAAAACAAAATGAAGCCGAGACATTAGAAATAGAAAATTTTTTTCCAGTTTGGTAAAAGAATTAGTAAGATGACAGGAAAGTGCACAGAAAAGGAACAAGAATTCTTGTAATGCGTTTTGAAATTTTCCGAATTTCTTTGAATGTATTACTGAATCCGTATTTGCTGAATTTGCTGTGTTATTGGATGTCAGTTTTTTGTATATGTTATTATAAGCTATCACACTATTGCACTTTAAAAGAGTTTTTGAAACTGTGAATTCGAACTTTGAAAAGATTGAAAAGAGGTTACTGCATGCATGTATTTCTATACTACAATTGTTTATATTTTACGGCGTCTTTGTTATTCGAGGCCATAGGCAAAGTCAACAGGATGTAAATGTTAAATTTCTATTTTAAAGGGTCTTCTCAATGGATTATACCGCGTCTACAATAACCAACATTCCCCGCCTTCGTAGTTTTATTAGACTGCGCGGTTACAAATATTGCGGGCGACCTTCCCTATATTATATGGTTTTGCCTTTAAAATCACGCCGTTTTTCGAAACGTCATCTTTCATTGCCATTGGATATATAACAAAATATTTTTTTGCAATTTTATTCTGATGATATAATTGAATACAGTAGTACCATTTGTAATAAAATTATGTGAATATTCCTGGGAAAATCCTATTGAAATTATCGATTACCGATCAATCGTCGCTCACTTCGCTCCTGCCAGCAGAAGGCTGCCGATGATTGAAGCCTGAACAACATTAGTATACTTACGAACGAAATCGACCGAGATGATATTTGCTTTCTCACAGAAAGTAGATCCGCCATAATACCACTGCTTTATAGTTGGATCAGCAGCAATGGCATTTCGACTTGGAGGATGAACCGCGCTGCTTTCCATAAACGAGCAAGAGGCCCATAAACCGGATGGAGGATTGAGCATATCTGTTTTGATCGCCCCGTATAACTTGATTAGAGTATCGGCGTTTGCATACCAGCGTTGGTTCACCCCGGGCCACATATAGCTATCAGGATTGCTCGTGTTCCAGGCAACAACCAGTCTTCCTTTTCCGCAAGTTTGCCAGATTTCCTGAAGCTGTTTCCCATGTCCATTTTGAACGGGAAGGAGATAGCCAGTCAAACACGAACGTATCTGAGCTTTGAGTTTGTCGTAGTCATAACGTCTTCTCACTCTTCTGCCTAGCTTGACAAACCGATGAAAGTCGAGGATGATAATCTCCTTGTTTGTGGAATCCTGGTCGATGAAATCCGTGATCTCTTTGAGCGCCGCGGCAAGTGTGTAACTTGTGCGCCATTTATCGTGAACAATTACATAATCTCCCGGCGAGTTTTGGCCGATACGTAAATCTAAAGCACGCACGCCGAACTGCAGTTGTTGGCCAAGGGAAAGGCTCTGGGTTTTAATCCACAAAGCACCCAGAGAGGATTTTGGGTCATGTGTCCCCGAGTCGTGTGTGCCAGGGAGGGTCATTTCTGTCAGGGTAAGCTTTCCCAAGACATCGCTGTAGTAAGACATCCACTTGTCGTACAGGAATGTCTGCGGATATGGCAAATTTTTCTCGGGGGAAACAATCGAATCGCTTCCAGGGAGAACCGTAGACACAGTGTTGCGAACACCCTTTTCCATTATAAGCAGAGATAATGAGCCGTTGTGGAACCAGCCCAACTCACCAATGCTTGTTGTTGGATCAGGAGGTGGAAACACTGAATATGCCTGGCTAGATTTCAGGCCACTCCAATCAACCTTCAAGCCACACTCTCCCCTGTTGTAGGGATATCGAATTTGCAGCTGGAAGCTCTTGTTCGCACCTTCGATTTCAAAAGTAGCTTCTCCGGCATCATCACTTTTAGTTTTCACCAAAGACGGTTGCTGGTATTCAATGTAAAACCTCTCCATTGTTTGTTGATGTATGCTTTTAAATGCCCAAGTATTCATTTGGTAACTATGCTGATGAGTCAGCTTGAGATCTACGCTGGTAGCATTGACAATCCATATATATCCTCCCATACCCATCGTGAGTTTTGGCGAAACGAGAACAAGATTTCAAGGGATAACCTATATGGATATGGACAGGTGTAATCGGCGTAAGATCATGTTAAATCAAACAGAGCATATAAGCGAGCCAGACTAGGAGTCATTCACAAACAGCCTGACTGGGAATCATTCACAAACTTTTTTACAAATAAAAGTTATTAATAAATCAGCAGGCTTGATTTGATTTCAATTCCGTTGCCATATTTGAGACTTATTGAATCACGTTACAAATATCAAAGATAAGAGTGAAACGTGTTTTATTTTACAAATGCCCGATAAAAGACGTTGTGGAGAGCGGTCGATCTTTACCAATAGGTAAAGAACTGTTTCTGGATATAAAAAATACAAGTGTTGACATGGTTGAGTCTGGCAAAAGGTTTGCCACAGGAGACAGGAAGCCACTTGACAAAGATTTGACTTGGTGCTTGTAAAGACATGCACGCTTGAACCTACATAAATCTGGGTTGTTTGTTGTATAAAACTAATCATGGAGGAGCAGGTGGAGAATTTAACAAATTTCTACAATTCTTTCAACAGCTGTACGACTTAAATGTCCTATATTTCATAGTCAGCCAAATTATTGTCTCAAGTGAACGTCGCAGCAGAATTTGACAAAGCAAATATAAGTAAATGCGACACTGATGTTTATATACTATAATGAGCCGATATGACAAAAGAGGACTATATATACTTTCAAATCTTATGTCGCAACTACATGTGCAGATATTCCAGATACGCTAATTTTAATAGATAAAAAACTTACTTTGTAAGGAGTGTAGTGTGTAATTTGCTTGAAAACCACAATGTTTGATATTTACTAGAGCCCCTCGACTTCCGTCCATAAGCAGACAATTACAAATAATGACATGCAGTATTGTATACTTCCGATCTGTGTGACGAATGCAGAATATAAGGGGCTGTTTACGTGAGCCCGGTTACCCGAGATTCGACGAAGCGTGAGAGGACTTTGAGGTATTAAAATAAGTCTTTATGACACCAAACAAGCACATGCTATTGTTGTAGTGATTATACGACTGCCAGGATCATGTTATCTGCTCATTTCAATACCTCAAAATCATCTCACGCTTCGTTGGATCTCGGGTAACCGGGCTCATGTAAACAGCCCCTTACCATGGTAGCAGCTATTACTATGGTGATCAATAACTCCCGCCATTTGCATCCTAAAGGCGCTGTTAATTGAGGCGGTTTTCATAATTTTAAGGTTGGTCAAAATTACTTAAAACCCCCCCCCCACGCCTGACTCGTACGCCACCACACCCCTGGTCAATTTCTACAACTTCACAACGTTTAAACTCAACCACAAATAAAGTTTGGTTTGCTGTGCAAAATGGTTGTCTAAACAACTGAAACAAATACAACATGTCAGTGGAAATTTCATGTATTCCTGTTCCATGCTTCATCACTGGTTTTCAGAAAATCTTTTTCTGTTTCGAACCCGTCTATACACTATCCTTCGAACACTACTTTTTTCATATTTTTTAACTGACATATCAAAACAGCATATCCCATAAACAAAACTTTATCTACGATTAGAGCTATAACACAAGACCGAGCTATTTAAAATTAAAACTAACAAACTGAAAGTGAGTTTCGGGCAGTTAATAGACCTCCTAACTTCGAATAAAGTTGCTTTAGAACCATATTGTGAATTTTTTAGTTGAATCACTACTAGTTGCTATCCATTTTTCGTTATGACACACATAATGAGGCTTTGTTAGCACATCATCTTCGTAATATTTCAATAGGAATGGCATTTCATTGCGAGGACATTTTGTTTTGGTACCCATGAACACACAATCTTTTAATGGGAATACATCGGTCTTCAAATGACTTTTTTTGTATTCATGATCACGTAAATACATTCCTTCATCTCGAAAAACAAAAACGTCAAGGTAAACCCCACAAGAAATTAAACGAGCCCCTGGCGTTTCAAAAGTACACTGATCTTTAGGGCCAGGCACAATACTTCCTTGACAATCCACTCGTGTCCTTTTATATACATCGTTGTTCGCAAAGTCCTCTTGTAATGCAAGATTTATCTGTTCGGAGTAGGGTGAAAAAGGTTTCTTCGAACGAATATGACGCACAACGTGATAATTCTTCAAGGTGACGCACACATCGAGGTCTCTGTCATATGGTATTAAATCACCATCTCTTAATGATCCAATGAGAGAACCACCACACAAGAAACTCGAAATGTTGTAAGAATTATCTAAGGACATCCAGTGACTGAATAAATATCTTAATGTTTCTTTATATCGATTGAATGGACATTTTGAACCATATATACCTTTACCATGTTGTCTACTTGCGTTTATGTAAGGGACGGAGCTTGAAAGGTTTGTTGACGTTGTCCTAATGTTTCTAGAAAGACATGATAGTTGCATTTCTTTTTTGGTAACGAATCTTAGGTCCAATAACCGTGGCCATTTAACCAGAGTTGTCAAAAAGAGAAAGATTCCCAGAAGAAATAGGAGTTTGAAAGCCCGTTGAGAATTCAGTCTTAAAGCCATCATAAAATGACTGCACCGGAAGCAAAGCAGGAAGTAAAACATACAAATATGGGTTCGCGTTATCGCTTTCTAAATTTCCTTCCATAGCCTAATATTAGTGTGGTCCTATTGAGGTCAAGTCAGGTCTGCGAACCAGTTCTTACTCATAACAATGCTTGGCTTGTTGTTTTTAAAATCGCTTAAATTTCGCCTGTTGTGAGTTCTTATTCATTTACAATAAATAAACCAAATCAATAAACCAATATTGTGATTTCAATTTGTCAATTTTTAGACGTAAAAGTTTCGTGGTGGGTGGCACTTTCACTTTCAGGGATATAATATATTATGATTTCCAAAGGTAACTGAATCAGTACAGACATCGTCAATAAATCATCAGATTCGTCTAGTAAGAAACAGCTCCCCCTACACAAGGTCTAAAAGCCTTTGTCACTGGCGAAGCAGCATTTTTTAAAGCAGCTAAAGTAAAGATAAGCAGATGGACGGCAGACGGAAGGATGTAACAATTAAAACGCGCGACATAAGAGCGAACTATAGAGAGTATAACCAAACTGATGCCTAAAAATGTTACTAAAACTGAGATATATATCTATGCAGAATACTTTCAAAGAAGTAATTTCTTTAGAATTCTTGACCTATACGTTTATATTGTGAAATATCTCAAGAGGTACAAAATAGTCATGATATTGAAATAATATTACCCCGCTTTTCCGCGGTGTCAAACAAGCATACTATCGACTCAAGTCACTCAACAGTTTATTTAACTGTAAAATTCACCCTCTGCATGTCCACGATGCTCCAAAAAAACACATCAAAACAATGCAAAATCGTCATGAATCATCGACTAAACGTCAAATCAAAAATAGTATTTTCAGAATATTAATGCTTCGTTTATGTCATGCATGACCATTAAAAGATTTGCATTTCAAGTGACAGTTCAGTTGCTTCTGAGGTGGATCTTGTTTGCCGCCAACATTTTTCGTGCTTGGTTAAGCACGCTCTGAAAGAACTGGGAGAGCATGGAAGAGTGAGGAATATTGTCACAACCTGTTTTCGCCTTTATAACGCGCAAAATATATTCTTAAATCTTTCCCTCGTTCACTTAAATTCTTCTGTAGCATATTTTTGTTTCTTCATATCCTTTATTCTTGCTCGAATGAGGTCGGTTTGAGTATAAAAACCGGCGTTGTTTTGACAGTGTAATTTTTGGCTGGCCTTAATGCCGGATTCAAAAAAAGGCTTCAAATCTGGCAGTTGACTTATCGTTTCAGTCTACCCCACTTGCGCCTACCAGAAAATTACAATACATCGTGTTTCGTTGCTAGGAAACGTTGACAAAAAATAGAATGAATCGAAGCAAAACGTCATCAAAACGGGCAAAAAAATGTGTAGAAAATTTATTTCATTTGTGTTGCATGGTTAGTCAAATTGTTTTAGAGACTCCACATGCATTTGCTTCGAAATTACGCAATATCCTTCGAGAACTACATTATTTTTTTATTTTTAAAATATCATAAACAAAAATCAAAGATGAACAAATATAATATTCACATGTACAAAATAATGCTCTTTGTCCATTCTCCGTCGATATTTTTCGTGTCAAAAATGAAAGTGCAAACTTAATTGTTTTTGTTCAAAAATATGAGAGTTGGACCGTTACTACGGCAACGGTCTAATACTGGGGGATTCCAGACCGGCAAAGAACCAATCAGCGCACGCCATTTTAGTCACGAGACCGCGTGCCATATAATAAATATTTTTATCCTATACCGAGAGATAACGAGTTATAGCTTATTAAATTCGGAAAAAACGAAGCAAAAACTTAATTAACAAATCTAAGGTGAGTTTCAGATGCTAACTTTTCTGATAAAGTTGAAAGGTTTGTTGACGTGGTAATAATGTTTCTTTTTGAAAATGATAGTTGCATTTCTGTTTTAGAACGAAATTTAAGCGGAATAAAGGTGGCCAATTCAGTAAAGTTAGCAAAAAGAAGCAAGGTCTGTTGAAAAATTTAGTCTTAAAGCCATCCTGAAAGATAGCATGCATATGCACTAAGCAGAAAGTAGAACTTTCCAGTTATATTTAGTATGGGCCCACGATAACGCTCCATTCTTGAAGGTATTGTAGTCTCGTCGGTTTAATTATAAAGGCGAAGTCAAGTCGGACCTGCAAAGTCGGTTCTATACAGTTCCATGTACTTATATAGCATGCAATGCGTGGCCTAAATTGCCTACAATTCGTCTGCTGTGCGTTTCTGGTCATGCGAGAAGTTTTTCTTCATTTACAACCATATTGTCAATCAATAACCAATATTGTGGTCAATATGCAAACAGTTTTTACATAATATAGGAAATAAAAAGAAAACGGAGCCTTTGTCATGATTCGGAATCTTCAGTTTATTTAGCTATATTTAGATCTTTTGTATGTTTTGTTGTTGCATGGTGACCCACAACTCCCGCCACATGCAATTTGTTCAAAAGTGTTGACAAATAGCTCACAGCAACAACAAATTGCATTCCGAAATGAACAATTCGCCAACACAAAAAAATTGCATCCTAAAGGCGCTGTTAAGGTGGTTTCCACGAAGCGAAACCGAACGAAATTCTTCGAAAAAATCGAGCGAAATATTTCGTTCAATCGGCAAATTTCGCAAAATGGAAAACCGCCTTCACACTGTTCAACTTTCCTTGCAACTTACAATGCAATTCTACTCCTAAGGCATCTAAAGTTGACAAATACAAAGGTAAGTTGTATATTGCGATATTCTGCGAGTCGTTTTTAGCAAAATACCCGAAAGGAAATATGTTTATCTTCATTATAAATTGATAATTTTAAGCTTGGTCAAAATTACGTAACCATCCCCTCCCCAGTCCTGACTCGTACGCGACGCCCCTGGTCAATTTCTACAACTTCACAACGTTTAAACTCGACCACAAATACAGTCTGGTTTGCTGTGCAAAATGGTTGTCTAAACAACAGTGAAACAAGTACAACATGTCAGTGGAAATTTCATGTATTTATGTTCCAAGCTTTATCACTGGTTTTGGAAAATCTTTTTCTGTTTCGAACCCGTCTATACACTATCCTTCGAACATTATTTTTTTCTCATTTTTTAACTGAAATATCAAAACAACATATCCCATAAACAAAACTTTATCTACGTTTAGAGCTATAACACAAGACCGAGCTATTTAAAATTAAAACTAACAAACTGAAAGTGAGTTTCGGGCAGTTAATAGGCCTCCTAACTTCGAATAAAGTTGTTTTAGAACCATATTGTGAATTTTTTAGTTGAATCACTATTAGTTGCTATCCATTTTTCGTTATGACACACATAATGAGGTTTTGTTAGCACATCATCTTCGTAATATTTCAATAGGAATGGCATTTCATTGCGAGGACATTTTGTTTTGGTACCCATGAACACACAATCTT